AGTGATATTATTAATTCTAATTATCAAGTTAATAATTATAATTGGATCTTACTAATAGGGGGAATATTTTTGTTCGTGTTTAGTCTTGAAAAAATCTTTTGAGATGTGTGAGTTTAAACTCACAAGTTTATTTTGACCTTTTTGAGTTCTCAAATTTCCGGGGAAATACACAAACGTTTGTTAATGGTAATTGGGTTGTAATAACGTAATGGAGTAAGTAACGTTGTGGTTAGGTGGTTAATTGGGTGGTTTCCGGTCCTTCCCAGTGGGCTCGATATCCAAGTGTGTCGTTAATTCTACGTTGAATTGACGTCGATTTAACGTTGAATTAACGTTGATACACCGTTGAATTAACGTTGATACACCGTTGAATTAACGTTGATTCACCTTTAAATTAACGTTGATACACCGTTGAATTAACGTTGATACACCGTTGATTTGACGTCGATTTAACGTTGCTAAAGTTGCTTCCAGGTAAGTTGTCTCATGTAAGTTGCTCAAAGCTTCGTTGAGGGCCTGAGGTAAGTTAATTCAGATACATTATTCTAGGTAAAGTGCTAGTTTAACTTTTTAAAGATAAGTTGCGTTTTAATCCCCCCCCCCTCTCCCCATCCCCACCAAGTTGCTTCAGGTAAGTTGCTTCAGGTAAGTTTTACCCGCGCAAGATAATCGCTTCATTAACCTGGCTATTTAAGACGACAAAAGCGTAATTAACTGCTCAATTAAACATGTAAGAATGATCATTACCTTTTCAGCCTCGGATCGCGAATGGTTAATTCTCACGAAATATTACTTCAGCAGCGAAATAAAACTGCTTTTATAATACAATCTTTTTTTTTTTTTTTTTTTTTTTTTTTTTTTGGTCTTTTGTGTCGTAGTGGACTTCGTTTTTTTTTTCTCTCGTGTCGTGGAAGATAATATCATCATCAGTGGAAATAAATTATTTTTGCATATTAAATTTTGAGTGGAATGATGTCCTGGTGAGGCGTTAAGAGGGGGGGTTTTAATTTAACATTTAATTACCACTTGAACATGAAAAGGGGTAATTTAATTATAAATATTAAAAGGGAAAAAATCGTGAAACATTTTCCCCCCCCCCCTTTAGATTTTATTTAAAATAACAATCAATTATTTTATGATGTATTGTTATTTTATGTATTTTGTTTTTCTTATTTTTTTATATATGGAAGCATAGTGTATTTTTAAATATATCTGAAATGATTTAATGTTCTTTAGTGGTGGAAGAGTGGTTATTAAGCCCTTCTTCTGCTCAACCAAACCTCTGACTCTATATATATATATATATATATATATATATATATATATATATATATATATATATATATATATATATATATGTGGGAGCATCCCAGACACTGCCTTAATCAACTGTGCTACGACAGGGTTAAAAAGAGTTGAAACCGAAGTTCTACTGAACTTACTGGGATCCTGCAGCCTCTCCGAGGCACAAACCAGGGTTTTACACAATTCCCCCCCCCCCCCCTGCACTCGAGCTATGTCAATAGGCCGTTCTCCCTCTTTCTTAATATACTTTGCGGGGGCGTAATCGTTCTCACAGTCGATTAAGGCAGTGTCTGGGATGCTCCTGGACGCAGGTTCGAATCCTCGTCACGGCCCTTGTGGATTTGTTCATTATGGAATCAATTTCAGGTGGATTCCATCTCAAGTTGGAAACGCATGACTGAACATGATGTATCAGATTCTAAATTCTCGTTGGTGGAGTTCATGTAGGCTTGAAAACGGTCAGGCAGTTAGATGCATAGTAGTAGGCATCCATCAGTCTCTGGAGACTATGGAGTTTGGCTCTGGTTGTGGGTCTGAAATGGCCTCTCCAGGGCGCAAAGCCAGGGTAGGTTGATACGGGGGAGAAGCTGTTACCCATGCAGCAAGTCCCCCCTTCCTCCCTCGCCACGGCGCCGAAATCCTCCAAATGGAAAGGCAACCCCCAATACGATTGATTCCATTAAATGCATAAACCGTCATTAGATCCTTATAAGCCTAAATAAATAGAAGCTACATTGGCTATTCCATCTTTAATCATTCCCATCATGGAAGTCATTAGAATGAACAGGTCCTTACAGGTAGCTGCTTCTGGGATTAGGTACGGCCGTAGGTATCCATAATACCATCCATAATATTAAGAAAAAGATCAAGCCAGATGGGGAAAAGGGAGGGGGAATCCTTCGACAAGCCGCCGGCTTGCTGCTCTCGTCGAGACCGCTAATGTCAGCGGTCCTCAGGTAAATAGAGCGGCTATTTCTGTCCATACTTCCCTGCGAGCGCGTTTCCTCTTTGGGAAGGGTTGCAGTGATGCCTTCCTTGCGACGGGTCACTACGGTAATTATGAGGCGACAATGATAAGCCACAATGACTGTATAGCACTTGGGAGGGGGGAATGGGGACCAGGAGCTGGGGTATGGGGACCAGGAGCTGGGGTATGAGGACAAGGAGCTGGGGTATGAGGACAAGGAGCTGGGGAATGGGGACCAGGAGCTGGGGAATGGGGACCAGGAGCTGGGGTATGGGGACCAGGAGCTGGGGTATGAGGACAAGGAGCTGGGGTATGAGGACAAGGAGCTGGGGAATGGGGACCAGGAGCTGGGGAATGGGGACCAGGAGCTGGGGTATGGGGACCAGGAGCTGGGGTATGAGGACAAGGAGCTGGGGTATGAGGACAAGGAGCTGGGGAATGGGGACCAGGAGCTGGGGAATGGGGACCAGGAGCTGGGGTATGGGGACCAGGAGCTGGGGAATGGGGACCAGGAGCTGGGGTATGGGGACCAGGAGCTGGGGAATGGGGACCAGGAGCTTGGGTATGGGGACCAGGAGCTGGAATATGAGGACAAGGAGCTGGGATATGAGGACAAGGAGCTGGGATATGAGGACAAGGAGCTGGGATATGAGGACAAGGAGCTGGGATATGAGGACAAGGAGCTGGGATATGAGAACAAGGAGCTGGGATATGAGGACAAGGAGCTGGGATATGAGAACAAGGAGCTGGGATATGAGAACAAGGAGCTGGGATATGAGAACAAGGAGCTGGGATATGAGAACAAGGAGCTGGGATATGAGAACAAGGAGCTAGGATATGAGGACAAGGAGCTGGGATATGAGGACAAGGAGCTGGGATATGAGGACAAGGAGCTGGAATATGAGGACAAGGAGCTGGGGTATGAGGACAAGGAGCTGGGATATGAGGACAAGGAGCTAGGATATGAGGACAAGGAGCTGGGATATGAGGACAAGGAGCTGGGATATGAGGAGAAGGAGCTGGAATATGAGGACAAGGAGCTGGAATATGAGAACAAGGAGCTGGGATATGAGAACAAGGAGCTAGGATATGAGGACAAGGAGCTGGGATATGAGGACAAGGAGCTGGAATATGAGGACAAGGTGCTGGAATATGAGGACAAGGAGCTGGGATATGAGGACAAGGAGCTGGAATATGAGGACAAGGAGCTGGGATATGAGGACAAGGAGCTGGGATATGAAGTTTCTCATTGAAATCTTTCACAATATCCTACCATTGAAGTTTTTCATTAAAGACACTAACATCTTCCCCTTGAGAGGTCTCTTGATGTCTCTCACGACACCCCAGCATCTCTGGGCATCATCCCCCTGGTCTGAGATGAGGATGATGGATGCTGCATAATTACCACTGGCGTCGTGGTAATTTTTGACCCCCCCCCAAGAAAATATTTTAAAGAGAAACTACACGAAGATAATTTTCCAAGATTCTTTGTGAAGATTTTTCAGCATTCTTGGAAGGAGTTTTCAGGTTTATTGGGTGAAATTTTTCATGATTCTTTGAAAATATTTTCCAAGATGCTTGAAATGAACTCTCCAAGTTGATAGAATTCTTGAGGGAAAATACATTTCCCCCAAAATAAAATTCTTGAAGGAATTGTCCAGGCTCCTTGGAATGAAATGTCCAGGCTGATTAGAAGGAATTGTCCAGGCTCCTTTGAAGGAATTGTCCAGGCTCCTTGCAATGAAATGTCCAGGCTGATTAGAAGGAATTGTCCAGGCTCCTTTGAAGGAATTGTCCAGGCTCCTTGGAAGGATTTGTTTAGGTTCCTTGGAAGGAATTGTCCAGGCTCCTTGGAAGGAATTGTCCAGGCTCCTTGGAAGGAATTGTCCAGGCTCCTTGGAAGGAATTGTCCAGGCTCCTTGGAAAGAATTGTTCATGCTCCTTGGAAGGAATTGTCCAGGCTCCTTGGAAGGAATTATTCATGCTCCTTGGAAGGAATTGTCCAGGCTCCTTGGAAGGAATTGTCCAGGCTCCTTGGAAAGAATTGTTCATGCTCCTTGGAAGGAATTGTCCAGGCTCCTTTTGGAGGAACTGAAAAGGGAATTTATTTTATAGAACATAATGAAGAAGACTTAAGGAGAGAGAGAGAGAGAGAGAGAGAGAGAGAGAGAGAGAGAGAGAGAGAGAGAGAGAGAGAGAGAGAGAGACAGACAGACAGACAGATAGAGAGAGAGAGAGAGAATAAAAAGAGCCAATATAAATATGAATGAAATACTGAACTATAAAACATTAGCATTAATGAGAAACAAAGACAATTAGAAGAAGCGAAGGAAGAACGAGGGAACAAGAAACAAGTAAGATAAACACATTACCAAATACAAAGAAAGATAAGATACAGGGAGGCTGTAATCAGAAGGTCTCGATCGAGCGACCATCAACATAATGGTCACGCTTGAGGGACATCACAGCAGCAGCTTAAGGGGGGGGAGGGGGAGAATGGGAAGGGGGGGGGGAAAGGGGTATGGGAAGGGGGGGGAGGGGAGAATGGGAAGGGGGGGGGGGGGGTTCAGAACACCCTGGAGATTACAATCAGAACACTACACACACATCTCCCCCTCACCTCCCCCCTTACACCCACGTGGGGTGCCAACCCCCCTCTCCCCCTCCCCACGCTGGGGGGGGGGGAGAGGGAGGAGGGGGGGGGGGGGGAAGGGAGATGAGAGGTAATTTAATAATCATTGAACGTAATTTTCGGCTTTGTAATTCCCTTCAAAATTGTTATATTCAACGTTGGCAAAAGCTTTGGTGGCATAAAGCTCTGGAGGCATAAAGCTCTGGAGGCATAAAGCTCTGGAGGCATAAAGCTCTGGAGGCATAAAGCTCTGGAGGCATAAAGCTCTGGAGGCATAAAGCTCTGGAGGCATAAAGCTCTGGAGGCATAAAGCTCTGGAGGCATAAAGCTCTGGAGGCATAAAGCTTTGGAGGCATAAAGCTCTGGAGGCATAAAGCTTTGGTGGCATAAAGCTCTGGAGGCATAAAGCTCTGGAGGCATAAAGCTCTGGAGGCATAAAGCTTTGGAGGCATAAAGCTCTGGAGGCATAAAGCTCTGGAGGCATAAAGCTTTGGAGGCATAAAGCTCTGGAGGCATAAAGCTCTGGAGGCATAAAGCTCTGGAGGCATAAAGCTCTGGAGGCATAAAGCTTTGGTGGCATAAAGCTTTGGTGGTATAAAGCTTTGGAGGCATAAAGCTCTGGTGGCATAAAACTCTGGTGGCATAAAGCTCTGGTGGTATAAAGCTCTGGAGGCATAAAGCTTTGGTGGCATAAAGCTTTGGTGGTATAAAGCTTTGGAGGCATAAAGCTCTGGTGGCATAAAGCTCTGGTGGCATAAAGCTCTGGTGGTATAAAGCTCTGGAGGCATAAAACTCTGGAGGCATAAAGCTCTGGAGGCATAAAGCTCTGGAGGCATAAAGCTCTGGAGGCATAAAGCTCTGGAGGCATAAAGCTTTGGAGGCATAAAGCTCTGGAGGCATAAAGCTCTGGAGGCATAAAGCTCTGGAGGCATAAAGCTTTGGTGGCATAAAGCTCTGGAGGCATAAAGCTATGGTGGCATAAAGCTTTGGTGGTATAAAGCTTTGGAGGCATAAAGCTCTGGAGGCATAAAGCTTTGGTGGTATAAAGGTTTGGAGGCATAAAGCTCTGGTGGCATAAAGCTCTGGTGGCATAAAGCTTTGGTGGCATAAAGCTCTGGAGGCATAAAGCTCTGGAGGCATAAAGCTCTGGAGGCATAAAGCTTTGGTGGTATAAAGGTTTGGAGGCATAAAGCTCTGGTGGCATAAAGCTCTGGAGGCATAAAGCTCTGGAGGCATAAAGCTTTGGTGGTATAAAGCTTTGGAGGCATAAAGCTCTGGTGGCATAAAGCTCTGGAGGCATAAAGCTTTGGTAGCATAAAGCTCTGGTGGCATAAAGCTCTGGAGGCATAAAGCTCTGGAGGCATAAAGCTTTGGTGGTATAAAGCTTTGGAGGCATAAAGCTCTGGTGGCATAAAGCTCTGGAGGCATAAAGCTTTGGAGGTATAAAGCTTTGGTGGTATAAAGCTTTGGAGGCATAAAGGAGCAAAGATTAATCAGAGCTCCTATTGGTCCATACTAGGGAGCTCCTATTGGCCCATACTAGGGAGCTCCTATTGGTCCATACTAGGGAGCTCCTATTGGCCCATACTAGGGAGCTCCTATTGGCCCATACTAGGGAGCTCCTATTGGTCCATACTAGGGAGCTCCTATTGGTCCATACTAGGGAGCTCCTATTGGTCCATACTAGGGAGCTCCTATTGGTCCATACTAGGGAGCTCCTATTGGCCCATACTAGGGAGCTCCTATTGGTCCATACTAGGGAGCTCCTATTGGTCCATACTAGGGAGCTCCTATTGGCCCATACTAGGGAGCTCCTATTGGTCCATACTAGGGAGCTCCTATTGGTCCATACTAGGGAGCTCCTATTGGCCCATACTAGGGAGCTCCTATTGGTCCATACTAGGGAGCTCCTATTGGTCCATACTAGGGAGCTCCTATTGGCCCATACTAGGGAGCTCCTATTGGTCCATACTAGGGAGCTCCTATTGGCCCATACTAGGGAGCTCCTATTGGTCCATACTAGGGAGCTCCTATTGGTCCATACTAGGGAGCTCCTATTGGTCCATAATAGGGAGCTCCTTCTATTCCATACTAGGGAGCTCCTATTGGTCCATACTAGGGAGCTCCTATTGGCCCTCCTATTGTTCATTCCATCCAGAGGTCGACCCCCAAAAAAGGCGTTCATCAGTTTGAACACGTTCATTTAAAATAGGAATTTTCTCAAATATAAATTAATCAAATATAAATTTATTTTCTCAAATATAAATAAATTATTATATTATAAATTATAAATTTATTAGAATATAAATTACTATTTATTAGAATATTGTACATATTTAGGCATAGGTTAGGTTAGGTTAGGTGTTTAGGTTCTGTTGGCGATTATTTGTATTTGTAGTACGTGGGTGAAGCATTTACAGCGTTGTGGTTCGAACACCAGTCGTCAGTGAAGCACTTGTTCCGGAAGTGTTCGAACGTCATCAGTTGTGAGTCGTGTGTAAACCGTTTTTCATTCATAAACACCTGGTTTGTGGACGGATTGACGAACATTTGCCCTTTGTTGATGAGGCAGCCTGTTCTCATAAACAAAGAACCAAAGACCATTCCATCCACCCGCCAAACCCCCAGGTGTTTATGAATGAAAAACGGTTTACACACGACTGATGACGTTCGAACACTTCCGGAACAAGTGCTTCACTGACGACTGGTGTTCGAACCACAACGCTGTAAATGCTTCACCCACGTACTACAAATACAAATAATCACCAAGAGAACCTAAACACCTAACCTAACCTATGCCTATATATGTACAATATGCTAATATATTATAATATTTATTTATATTTGAGTAAAGTTAAGTTTTGAAGGAACAGAATGTTAAAATTGATGGCTGCGTCTTTGGGGTCGACCGCTGGATGGAATGGACTTGCTCTGTGATGACGAGGACGGGCTGTGTATCCGTAGCAGCTGGGAGAAACATTTTGAGAGCTCTGCCACTCAAACACAAGAAGAAATCGAACAACTATTCGAGAGATGTTGGAATGTAATCAGCAGTGAGCGGTGTGTAAAGTGTTTATCAATCATGAATAGTGATTCGAGCGGCTTGATTAACGAGCTAATGGCCCTTGTTTATGAGGGCGGGTTGTAAGAAGACATATTAACATAACCGGTCGATAATCCACCTCTGATGGCCGTGGATTGAATCCGCTCTCTAAAATGACTTATCTTGTTCGACCTCAAGAGATTTGCTCGAAAAATCAGACGAGGGTCAGAAATCGACTCGTTTGGAATAGGTTTATGACACCAAGTTCGAGTTACCAGTTCGAACGTGGACCAGGATTCAAGCTCGCTTCGAGGCGAGAAAACATGCACCGGTTCAACGAGGGCATATGGGGCATACACTGCCAGTATGCAGAGTGTGGTTGGTCACCTCGGGTGGGAAGTGTGGTACACCCAAGACATGACTCTCTGCACCTTGAACAAACAACCTTTCCAGATAATGGGCGCCCGACGCATAGACACATACCGAGTGCAGCCACTCACGCACGCTTAGGACACACACACACACACACACACACACACACACACACATGCCTAGAGGACTCGAGCGCATGCGCACAGACATAAAACAAACGGTGTCTCAGACGTAATGATAAAAAAAGTACTGTTTCTCAGGGGCAACCAATTGCCACGCGCAGGTGAGTTTCAACGGCTTAAAAGCGACGTGCTAGAGGCTGCTTGAGTAACGAAGCAACTGTCATTTGCAGACGAGAGTCAAGATGCTCTGCACGACCGCTATGCACGAACGCAATGCACGAACACTGTGCACGAACGCGCCGTACAGTAATATATTCACAAAAGGGGGCACCAGATGCAACGGTTGACGCCGCCAAGAAATTCAAATTCAAATTCAAATTTTGTATTCAAGTAACGGTACATACAGAGACGAAGAGTTACAAACCTAATGTTGGATTTATAGATAGAACTAGTGCATACAATCCATAAAGCCACTAATACGCATAGCGTTTCGGGCAAGAAATTCGTGTTACAATGTCTTAGACGTTTCTGAAGGAGAAGGAAGAACGTCTCTCCTCGTTCAGCTGTCACCAGAGGTGCGATTGTTCTCTGATAACAATCCTCGTAACGACAGCGTCGTTTTGACGTATTTACAAGATTAATGACGTATTTACAAGGCTGTAATTACGTATTTACAGGCAGTAATGACGAATTTTGACGTATTTACAAGATTAATGATGTATTTACAAGGCTGTAATTACGTATTTACAGGCAGTAATGACGTATTTACAAGACTGTACTGACATATTTTGGCGTATTTACAAGGCTGTAATGACGAATTTTGACGTATTTACAGGATATAATGACGTTTTTGACGCAATTTACAAGACTGCAATAACGTTTTGACGTATTTGCAAGGTTTTAATAACGTATTTTGACGTATTTACAAGTCTTTAATAGCGTATTCTGACGTATTTACAAGGCAGTAACGACGTATTTTGACGTATTTACAACGCTGTAATGACGTATTTACAACGCCGTAATGACGTATTTACAAGGCTATAATGACGTATTTTGACGTATTTACAAGACTGTAATGTATTTTGACGTATTTAAAAGGCTATAATGACGTATTTACAATGCTATAATGACGTATTTTGACGTATTTACAAGGCTGCAAAGTATTTTGACGTATTTACAAGGCTATAATGACATATTTTGACGTATATACAACACTGTAATGACGTATTTTGACGTATTTACAACGCTGTAATGACGTATTTTGACGTATTTACAAGGTTGTAATGACGTTATAAACATTGTAGTTACGTTGTGTGGTCGTTGGTTAGGCCAAGATGGACCTCAGGGGATGAGAGCAGCATCTCTGTTGGGCATCCGGACTCTGCCCCGTGTATATGTGTATATACACACCTGTCACGCCGTGTATGTGTATATACACACCTGCCACACCGTGTATATGTGTATATACGCCTGTCACACCGTGTATATGTGTATATACGCCTGTCACACCGTGTATATGTGTATATACACACCTGCCACACCGTGTATATGTGTATACACACCTGCCACACAGTGTACACGTGTTTACACACACCTGCCACATAGTTGGGAGCCGGTCGGCCGAGCGGACAGCACGCTGGACTTGTGATCCTGTGGTCCCGGGTTCGATCCCGGGCGCCGGCGAGAAACAATGGGCAGAGTTTCTTTCACCCTATGCCCCTGTTACCTAGCAGTAAAATAGGTACCTGGGTGTTAGTCAGCTGTCACGGGCTGCTTCCTGGGGGTGGAGGCCTGGTCGAGGACCGGGCCGCGGGGACACTAAAAAAAAGCCCCGAAATCATCTCAAGATAACCCTCAAGATAGTGTACACGTGTATACACACACCTGCCATACAGTGTATATGTATACACACACCTGCCACACAGTGTACACGTGTATACACACACCTGCCACACCGTGTATATGTATACACACACCTGCCACACAGTGTACACGTGTATACACACACCTGCCACACAGTGTACACGTGTATACACACACCTGCCACACAGTGTACACGTGTATACACACACCTGCCACACAGTGTACACGTGTATACACACACCTGCCACACAGTGTACACGTGTATACACACACCTGCCACACAGTGTACACGTGTATACACACACCTGCCACACAGTATACACGTGTATACACACACACCTGCCACACAGTGTACACGTGTATACACACACCTGCCACACAGTATACACGTGTATACACACACCTGCCACACAGTGTACACGTGTATACACACACCTGCCACACAGTATACACGTGTATACACACACCTGCCACACAGTATACACGTGTATACACACACCTGCCACACAGTATACACGTGTATACACACACCTGCCACACAGTGTACACGTGTATACACATATAATGATGCAACATTGCAAGGCAACATAATATTGCAAAATAATAATCACATAAAAACCGGAAAGACTGAAACCTGAAAAAGACTTACGATAATCCTGAAGAGATTGGATAATTGACCTATTGCAATAATCCAGAAACGCCCTCAAAAGCCACACTTAGAGTGATTGACGACCCCCCTGAAGGATGTCAATCATTTCTTGGTTGCATTTCATTCACGTAGGGATTAGTGGGTTATCTAAATTGGTGGGAAAGGTGTCTTGAGGACCCCGTCTTAGAGGATGAGATTGTGGCCCTCTCTAACCATTCCACTCATCTAACGACCCCCCTTATCTATCCCCTCCCCTTCTCTCACTGTTACACCTCCCCCCCCC